CGCAGTTAACAATGCAAGAAAATTTGACACGGTTAAATTCCTAGGACTGTCACACAGTTCTTAGGTGGCTGGTAACATCACTTTACCAAGACAAAGAGGCAACTTTCTACTCCCATAAAGAGTGGCAGTCTCAGGCAGGGGCAGTTCCACCCTGTCCGACAGGTCGCCAGGAGTCGGCCTCGATTCAATGGCCATGAGTTGGAGTTCTTTTTGATCACCACTCCTAAAATTGGCTTGAACTCGATGGGGCGTATACTGAGAAATGCATCTGCTTTAATTTTGTTCATGAATTTTTTGGTGTACTTTCATATGGTAGACTCGTTTAAAAATAATTCAATAAAACAAAATAAATAACCCAAACAATGATAATACATAGGGCCCTCAACTTTGATATATTCCCTGATTAGTTGAGACAAGACGTGTTCATCTCAGAGGGAAAGCTTGACGGAGCAATAGGGAAGGGGCTGCCGCGCCCTGGCTAAGAGGTGATCTGACTAAGGATGCACAACCGGAGAGGAGAGTGGGGAGAGGCACGAGGCGGGAGGAATAAGGAAAACATACCGTGCAAATGTGAGGCCAGTGTTCAAATTGCTGTAACACTCCTCGGTTAAGTTCTTCTTTATATAGCTCTTTGTAAAACTGTGGCAGTTTAGATATCCAAATGCCATTGTTATGCTTGCTCAATATTTCCTTGATGCGGTTTTGCACCTCATCCATTTTATAAGGGTAAGAGGCAGGTGGGGCGATATTTGGTTTTTCAACAGTCTGATTTAAATTATCTTCAAATTAAAAAAAAAAATCATAGAATTAACCAGGCTGCATAACATCTTCGATGATCCCCACCACTGAGTACGTTACCTGTCTTTCGGCTCAGCTCTCCTGCGGGGCCTGTGGGCCAAAGGACGCAGCGGTATCAGGAAAAGCCCCTCCTGAAGCTTAACTCCGAGACAGCTGGCAGGGCCACAGCCCACAGAGGGAGCCTAGCCCCTTCGTTTCCCAAAGGTGGGCTTTCTAATCTAATCTAAACATCAGGACGGTTTGCGATGAAACGGATGGTGTTCATTTAACCAACTATTTTCCACATGCAACTAAGAAAAGTTAACCTTTAAACACTGTTGGGCTATTTGCAATACAGAATATAAACTATGGTCCACAAAGTGTAAGAATCATGCTCTTAATCATAAGATTAAAGAGCATTTTGTAAAAGACTGAAAAAGAAAAAAAGAAGCCCATGCTTCAAAGGAGAATCCATTTTCTCCTTTAACAGCAACTCAGCAATACACTCAACTCAAAACCTTTCAACTCACTGCCGTGGCGTCAATGCCAACCCACAGCGGCCCTACAGGATAGGGGAGAGCTGCCCTGTGGGTTTCCGAGACTGTAACTCTTTGTGGGGGTAGAAAGCCTCAAACTGTGGTTTCAAACCGGGGACCCTGTGGTCAGCAGCCCAACTTGTAACCACCAGGGTTCCTCAGCAATGGCTCCACCCACAATAACCATCCTGGCCTCAGCTTATAAACATAAAATAACATGTGTGTGGTCCACAGACAATCGCTGACAATATTCTTAAGTAATATTTATCAAGTTTTAGTTGGCTCTCTTTTTCACATTTACTTTATACTTGACGGCAGGGTGAACACACTCAGAGAATAGTCTCTGGCACTGCAGTGTTCCCTGTAGTGGCAGCTCTGGTAGTTTAAGCACTATGGAATCCATTCTAAACCTCTTCTAAGCTTCATTGGGATGTAGACCAGAATATACCACGTGTTTTCACCTACAAGCACAACATATGCATATTTTAGTCAGTGTCCCAGCGGGGGTCTGATCCTGTTATTTCACTTTCTCCCTGGCTGGTGGTGATGGAGAGGTTGGTTTGGGAAAATGAGGACAGTTGGTTCTCCCAAGATGTCGGGGCACGGACTCCCCGACCCCACCCCCAGCCAGGGCCCCGCCGATAATGCATTACGCTCAGCCAGAGCAGGGTGCTGGCTGTTCACTGAGCTTCCCATGAAAGGCACAGCTAATTCATTTAAGTGCTTCGAAGATAATGATGTGAAAGAACCGGGAGAGAGAAAAGACGAGTCTCTCACAGCTGGCCAGAGCTCAACTTTACTGAGTCAGCAGCAGGCCCGGAGTTGGGGTCAGCTCAGCTGCTGCCTCTATGGTTAAACCAACCAGTGGAGTAACCTAGCCTGTCGGCATGAAGGGGCAGCTGTGTGGACGCCGACGCCGGCATCTCACCTGCGCCAGGCAGTTTGCAAGCCTCCTTCAACAAGCTGCCTGGTTCTCTAGAAAAAGTTGCTCGGAATTTAATTCTCTCAAAGGGTTTCAGACAAGGCACAGATAAAAGTGAGTCAAAGAAGCAAAAATCATGTACTGTCTGACTGATTTTCATAAGTGGAATGGATCGACTCGTGCTGCTTCAGAAATGCATGTGTGAAAGTAAGTCTTGTCAGCAAAAGCCAAACTGGGATAAAAGAACGCGTTCACCTCAGTAAGAGCCACACTGGAAGCAGCCCATTGCTCAAGGTCACCCTTCAATGTCCTGCAGCTTCTGCCCTGGAGCTGCCAACAGTGACCCTCAGTGGTGAGAGGATTGAACAAGCGAGCAGACGGTTGGCCGGCAGGTTCCTGGACTTCATTATGTCTCCGGCTGGTTCCTGACGGAGAGCCCGTCAGGACTTTATAGCCTGTGTCAGTGTTCATTTATGTTTAGATACCTAGTGGTCATGGCGCTCCATTTAGGATGACAGCTTTTAAACAGGAGGGGACTTTAAACTCTTGAATTTAAGTCCAAGGTTATGAATTTTAAGTCTAGAGCAGGGGGCTCCCCACTCTGTAGCCTGTTGACACTCAGCACTGCAGGTGACTCGGGGACATGAAGCAGAGGGCTGGTGTGAGAAAGGCCTGAAAGCCGAGTAAGAGTGACACTTTATGATTAAGGAGGGGATACGAGAGGAGAGTAACGGAAGGTGAGATCAGATGGGAAAGGCTGCCATCCCAGTCTCCTGACGCCAGTTTCACGAAGATAAAATTTAGGAAACATACCGCTCCTGTCCATAGCACAAGTTCTTGACAGATGCATCTGAAACGCTGGTGGAAGAGATGTCTTTGGACTAAACCTAAGGTGCGAAAAACACATAAAATGAACTTTCAAACGGCAAAGTCTCCATTACGTTTTAAATAATGTGCTTTGAATTTAGCACCTGATTTTAGACAGTGAAACAAGGCCCTAAAATGTTTCAAACTTGGCAAATATGACACTTGGCATTTCCTTTCATGCTTCCTATTCACCCACGAATGCTCTCATTCACTTCAGGTAAAAGCTACCCTTAAACTCAGTTTTAATATCATTACTTCTTAAAAGTATCTTTCAGAACATGGGCATCTGGGGTTATAACCAATCCCTTTTACGGGGCTAGCCAAGCAAAATAAAGGAAACCATGCAAAGAATAAAAATCATGGGAAACAAAGAATATGCTGAAAGATAACAACAAAGACTTGCATTGACAGCTATCAAAGCACCCTGTAAATTCCTAATATTTAAAATAGTCAGGTAGATGAGTCAAACAGCAGATGGCGCAGAAACGGCCTCTATTAAAAGTGGTTTTTAAAGCAGAGAAGGGAGTGACTGTTCATACAGCCTTCTGGAAGAGAAGAAACTGACCCCTCCTTGGGCCCTCATCACAAGAATGTTCATGGAGATCAGGGGTTCTCCACCTTCCTTTTGCCCGACCCTTTCATACTGTCCTTCATGTGGTGGGGATCCCCAACCACACAATTATTTTCATTGCTACTCCATAACTGCAAATATATTACTGTTATGAATCGTCATGTAAATATCTGTTATGCAGGATATATTTTCATTGTTACAAATTGAATCATTAAAGTATAGTGATTAATCACAAAACAATATGTAATTATATATTGTGAAATATTTATGTGTTTTCCGATGGTCTTGGACGGCCCCTATGAAAGGGTCGTTCGACTCCCAAAGGGACCATGATCCACAAGTTGAGAACCACTGATATAGGTGATACCAGGTATTTGTGGGAGGAAGTTTTCTACATATAACAAAACACACACACACACACACACACACACACACACACACACACACACGGAATCATTTGTGTTCAAGTGTCTCCCCCACACAAGACTCTAATAATCTGCGTTCCCAGTACCGACAGCACTGCTTGGTGCAAGCAAGGGGGAGCCGAGTGTTGGAAGGATGAGTTGCATGAATGAATTGATGACTTTATCTTATCCAGAGTGGGCACAAGACTCAAATGTGTGATTGGGACAGAGTACGTGTTTCCCCAATGTTTGAATTGTATGGGATACACTAAGAAATAGACCAATTCTTTGAAAAGAAGCATATCTCCTCACAATATTTTCATTCTAAAAGCAATGACTAGATTTTAGGTCACAAAGAAAGCTTATTTCATTATGATGCCATGCAATGATGAGAGAATCATACTTGTGTATCAATGGACATGAGCAGTAACAGAAGATGCTGAGAACAGACCCAATGCCTACCTTTACAGACTGGTAGGGAGCCCACGCTCTGTTCCCTTGCATCAGCCCTAATAACAGAAACTGGAACCTTCCCTGCTTTGAGTCAGAATAGAAGGCTGTAGTGGGAGGCAGAGGGATGTGAGCAAAATGTAAAGACACTGGGAAGGGACTGCTTTGGCTCAAGCTTTGGTCTGATGGCGATCAAAGAAAACTGTCCACACCATTGGGCTCCACTCAAGTACTCCCTCAATGCAAGAACACTTTGTTCTATTAAACTGGCATTCCATGATGCTCACCTTCCCGACATGATCGCTGAAGACAAAAGTGGGTACATAAACAAATGTGGTGAAGAAAGCTGATGGTGCCAGGCTATCAAAAGATATAGCATCTGGGGTCTTACAAATATAGCTAGACCAGAGCATGTACATGAACATGAGTACACATAAGAGCTGGAAACACAGGGAATCCAGGACAGATAAACCCCTCAGGACCAATAATGAGAGTAGCGATACCAGAAAGGGAAGTGGAAGGTGGGGGAGAAAAGGGGAACCGATTACAAGGATCTACATATAACACCCTCCCTGGGGGGACAGACAACAGAAAAGTGGGTGAAGGGAGACATCGGACAGCGTAAGACATGACAAAATAATAATTTATAAACTATCAAGGGTCCGTGAGGGAAGGAGGGTTGGGGGTGGGGATGAGGAGCTGATACCAAGGGCTCAAGTATAAAGAAAACTGTTTTGAGAATGATGATGGCAACAAATGTACAAATGTGCTTGACACAATGTATGTATGTATATATGTATGTATGTATGTATGTATTGTGATAAGAGTTGTGCAAGCCCCCAATAAAATGGTTTTTTAAAAAGAAAAGAAAACTGTCCACAGAGCCACAGACAGATATTCAGGAGAGCTGCACGGATGCGAGAAAAGCAGACATCATATGACACCATGATGGGGATTCGGCTAATTTTCTAATAATACGTAAAAAAGATTAAAACTCACTTCTTAAAGAGGCACATCTACGCATATGCTGCTGATTAGCAAAGCACTCTTTACTCACAGATACTTGCTACTCACAGCACTTCCTGTGTAGCAAGCAGTGTGCCAGGCAGTGGTGTGGAGCTGACCTGCTCCTATTCCCGTGAGCTCTATGGCGTGCTGACAAAGTGGGCTGTGGGGTAAGCTGTCTCCAAGGTAAATCTTGTCTCCTGACATTCAAGGCCTTCTGTAATTCACTTTCCTGGAGCACTTTGTCTCTAATCAATAGACTTCTTCAAGGCTGAGGAGATTACGACTCATTAAAGTACATAAGCTTCTAACTTCCATCTTGCTAGAAGAATGTCTCCTTCTCTGGCCCTGGTGAGACAAACTGCCCCACTGAGGAGGCCTGGGTAGCAAGGGGCTAAAGGTAGTCTTTGGCCAACAGCCAGCTAGGCCTTAAGGAACCACCAGAAGGAAATCAGTTCTGCCAACAACCCTGTGAGTGGGTCTGAAAGCAGATTCTTCTTCAGCTGGGCCTTCAGAGAAGACCCCTGCTAAGTAAGAGCCTGAAGCAGAGGACCCAGCTGGATTCCTGACCCACAGAAGCCATAGCATAAATAAATGAAGGTTATGTTAAATGGGTAAGTCTGTGGTAGTCTGCTTCAGCAAAGTCGACTGAGTGCTATGATGGGGCAACAGGTGTAGTAAAGGTCTGCACTGGAGTAACTAACCAAATTGGGAGATGGAAGAGGAGAAATATGAATACTATGATTAACGTGGCACTGTAAAAAAAACAAACAAACAGGGAGCAATTATGTTGGAGGGAGCCCAGAAATGGAGCCCTGTATTTTTAAGAATTTCATATTGGTAAAGATGAATTTCAAACCAGCAGAAAAATCCACCCACTGCTGCTGAGCTGATGTGGACTCACCAAACCAAAATAGCACACAAAACCAAACCAAAAACCCACTCAGTGCCACTGAGTCGATTCCGACTCACAGGGATCCTGTAGGGCAGGGTAGAATTGCCCCTGTGGGTTTCTGAAACTGTAACCATTACAGAAGTAGAAAGCCTCGTCTCCAAGCGGTATTGAACTGCTAACCTTGTGGTTAGCAGGCCAACTCTGCCACAGAGTTCACAGCAAAGGATCCACGCTGTGCACAATGTATGGCAAAATGAGTTCTGGTTGAACTCAAGATTGAAAGGCAAAACACAAAGTCATTAAAAACGCTAATGGGAAACAGAAGGCAGATTACATCATGCGGGGGTAGAAATGCTTCTCTAAGTACACTATCCAAGGGCAGAAGTGATGAAGGCAGAGACTAATTGCCATGACTAGGTAAAATGTGAATATTTTTGAACAGAAAACACCACAAACACACAAAAAAAACCTGTAAAAATATTGTCCACATACTATTGGCAAGAATTAATGTCCTTAATTTATAAACTACGTTTACATTGGGCCTCCACTCAAGTCCTCCCTCAAAGCAAGAACACTTTGTTCTATTAAACTGGCATTCCATGATGCTCACCTTCCCAACATGATCGCTGAAGACAAAGTGTGTACATACACAAATGTGGTGAAGAAAGCTGATGGTGCCTGGCTATCAAAAGATATAGCATCTGGGGTCTTAAAGCCTTGAAGGTAAACAAGCGGCCATCTAGCTCAGAAGCAACAAAGCCCACATGGAAGAAGCATACCAACTTGTGTGATCATGAGGTGTCGATAGGATCAGGTACCAGGTATCAAAGAACAAAAAATCATTATCATTGTGAATGAGGGGGAGTGCGGAGTGGGGACCCAAAGCCCAACTGGAAATCCCCTTACAGAAGGGCTAAGGGGAAGAGACTAGCTGGTAAGGGTGCAATATAGCACCGATGAAACACACAACTTTCTTCTAGTTCTTTAATGCTCCCCCTCCCCAGTATCACGTGGTTTGACCCCACTATCATGACCCCAATTCTACCTTACATATCCGGCTAGACCAGAGGATGTACACTGGTACAGATAGGAACTGGAAACACATGGAATCCAGGTCAGATGAACCCCTCAGGGCCAGTGGTGAGAGTGGCGATACTGGGAGGGCGGAGGGAAGGTCGGGGAGAAATGGGGAACCGATCACAAGGATCTACATATAACCCCCTGCCTGAGGGACGGACAACAGAAAAGGGCGAAGGGAGATGTTGGACAGTGTAAGACACGGTGATAATTTATACATTATCAAGGGTTCGTGAGGAAGGAAGGGTCGGGGAGGAAGGGGGAAAATGAACTGATACCAAGGGCTCAGGTAGAAAGAAAATTTTTTGAGAATGATGAGGGCAACAAATGTACAAATGTGCTTGACACAAAGGATAGATGTATGGATTGTGATAAGAATTGTATGAGCCCCCAACAGAATGATTTTTTAAAAAAATAGGCATCAGAAGAACCAAAACAAACAAACAAGCAAGCATATTGCTAAGAACAAGGGGGGGGGGGCGCAGTGGAGCAGAGACACAAAACCCATCTGTAGACAATGGGACATCCCCACACAAAAGGGTCACAAGGAAGGGATGAGTCAACCAGGACACAGTATAGCTCCGATGAAACACACACTATTCTTCTGCTTCCTTGAGGTTTCCTCACCCCCCACTATCATGACCCCAGTCCTGCCTTTCACTTTGGCCTAGACCAGAGCACGTACACTGGTATAGCTAAGAGCTCAAGACACACAGAATCCAGGTCCGATAACGCCCTCAGGAACAGAAATAGGAGTAGCAATAACAGGAGGGTAGGGGGAAGGTGGGGAGAGGAGGGAAAACCGATCACAATGATCAACACATAACCACAACCCCCACCCCGCAGGGCATTAACAACAGAAATCATGGGGGAAGGGAGATAGTGGTCAGTGTAAGATATGAAAATAATAATAATTTATAATTTATCAAGGGGTCACGAAGGTGGGCGGGGGGAGAGAGGGAAAAAAGAGACGCTGATACCAAGGGCTCAAATAAAAAGTAAATGTTTAGAAAATAATGATAGCAACAAACATGTACAAATATGCTTGATACAATTGATGTATGGATTGCTGTAAGAGCCCCCAATAAAATGATATTAAAAAAATTAAAACAAACCAACCACGTTTACAAGATAGGAAGAGGAAAGCTCGTAGAAGCATTGGGCGGAGAGGCAGAGCCATGCAGCTCACGCAGTATCTACAAAGCGTTGAAGTACCCGATGGAATGCCTACCCGCTCAGGATCAAAATCAAAATGACACCACAGGCACGTTTGCCCCCTTCAGAGTAGAGAACTGAAAAGAGAAGCGCGACCTTAGCCAGGGTCTGAGGAGCACGCACTCCGTTCACTTCTGGAAGAAGACGCGATGCGCAAACTGTTTGCAGCACGAATTAGCACTGACGCCCTAACATGTGTCCCGCTGCCCAGAATTCCTGTTTTGGGCAACTCATTCTAAGGAACTAGTCACGAATACAGTCAAGGACTTTTCTACAAGGATGCGTAGCGCAGGGTTATAACTGTGAGACTCCTTTACAGCACAACAATGGGGGCTGAACAATGGGCTCCCCCGACATTAACAATGGTAATACCAAAGTGTGCGGAATACCATAAAAATGTTCACAAGTTATAAAATAGTTATGGCACAATTTACAAAAGGTGTTTTTAAAATTATGTCTGGGTTAAAAGTGATTATTTTCTTCTTCTTTTTACCTTCTTGTACTTTGCAAATGTTTCATGCCATAAATTTTTTGTAATCAGAACCACGCAATGCATGTAATTTTTGGAGTGAATTCTATAAATACTAATATTTAGTAAGTTGTAAACATTCAAGGGCTCAGACATCAACAATAGGTTCATATTCATTTACTTTAGCTTAATATTTGAAAGAGAGCTTTTTCAACGAAGTGCCTTTTCAATGACAGACAGACAGCCCTTTATTCCTGTCCTGCAGGGAGAACAGACTCGGGGACAGTGGGTTTCGTTATTTTGGAGACTCACGCTCTTACTCACCACAATGTACAAACAGCAATCCCGTCTCTCTGCTTACCTGCTGGACACCTCGTCCTTCAGCATGCACAAGTGTGTGCGCACACACACACACACACACACCCTTCAGTTTAGGTAAAGATATTTTAAAGATCTTACTTAGTAATCTTGTCACTTTAACAAAATACAATGATCACAGGTTTTACTATTTTAGAGCTAAACGCTTCCCTTCCCTCCTGTATATCAGGGAAACCATAAACCGCTTACCTATCTACCCCGACTCATCTTTGTATTTTACTGGAGATGATGTCACAAGGTAACCTTAAATTTACAAGGGAGAATGTGGGATATGCTACATTGTCTGCAACTTTCTAGTTAATCAAGTGACACACGTGTCCTTAACCAAACTAGAATTCTTCATAGTGAACCTCAGGGGCCCCAACTCCCAGAACCAGGGTCGGAAGCTGTGTGCATGTGTACGAAGACACATGTCTGTGGTGTGCATGGCTCTTTTCTCCCCTGGGAAAAAGCATTTACAGCCTTTCAAAAGGTTCCATCAGTCTAAAGTTAAGTACCTGCCATAACTGTGTTTTACTACAGTCATCTTTCAGAAATAGAAATTAAAGACAAAACTTCTAGTGTTGTATTTTGATGAGAGTAACTTTTTTTTCCTTTTAACACTAAAACACCTGTCAATAATATGTGCCACTAGGTCAGTGGTTCTCAACCTTCCTGATGCTGTGACCCTTTAAAACAGTTCCTCAGGTTGGGGTGACCCCCCCAACCATAAAATTATTTTCGTTGTTACTTCATTACTGTAATTTTGCTACGTTATGAATCGGGTGATCCTGTAAAAGGGTTGTTCGACCCCCAAAGGGGCTCATGACCTACAGGTTGAGAACCGCTGCACTAGGTGGTATTTAGATTTATCTGAAAACACAAATCTATATTTGCATTATGCTCTAAAAAAATGAAACTGGTAAGACAAAGGAAGGCACTGGAAGGAGCACAGAATTAAAGGTGCCGCAGGTAAATACTCTTCCAGGCACAATCGTGGAATAGCGGCAGTCAAAATCATCGATGAGTGCAGACAAACTGAGCAGGTGTAGGAAGGTGAACAGTTTTCTACCCACAAATACACATCAGATTGACAGAGGGTATTTCCACACGTATATGTAATGTGCTGCAGAAAATACGCACGGTTATACATTCACTGTAAAAAGTCATACAAATTTCTTAGCTATAACTGAATCCCTTGAGGGAATGAGTCACTGAGGCTGGAGCCTTAGGACCACAGTCTCTGGAGACCCCAAGGCAAAGCGGCAGAACAGAGCTCACAAAGACAGCGCTCTATAGCTCGCTTTGATGAATCATGACGGGGGCCTTGAAAGTTTGTGATGGTCAGAACCACACCACCACCCAATTCACTGCCACTGAGTCAATTCCGACTGCAATTCTTCTCAGGAATAGAGAGTCTCCACTTCAGGGCAGCTGGTGGTCTCAGACTGCTGGCCTTGTGGCTAGTGGCCCAGCACGTAACCACTACGCCACCAGGGTTTCTTCCACAGCCATCCAAGGTGCAATGACTGGTCTCTCTCTGTCTGGAGCACAGAAGGGTGAAGAAAACCATAGGGAACCAATCCGCGCAGAGGACTCAGGAGCCACGCAAACCAAAGTCCCCAGACACCTGAGACTCGAGGACAAGATGGAGCGTGGCTACCGCGAGGGACCACCGCAGGAGGGCCTGGATAGGGTGGGGACAGAAATGGAACCCAACTCAAGGTGAGTCATGGTAAGAGATTGATGGAACTCCAGGGACTATGGCTCTCAGACGCCTTCCATGCCGGAAATGACTCCATTTTCAGCGAAGAACAAGAAAGACGCTTGTAAAGTGAACACTAACCCCAGGGGGGATGCCCTCCTTAGAGCAACTGACCAGACAAGATCAAGGGTAGCTCAGGCTCGGGGATGAAGCTGAGAGGCAGGAAGGAGGAGGAGTGGAAACAGACACACAGGTGGGAGCGGGGGTGGGGGGGGAGCTGGACATTGTGGGGATTCCAATCAACATCACAAGGGATAAAACATACGAGGGATAAAACAAAGTGTTTAAATTGTTGGATGGAAAACCAATTTGCTCTGTAAATTTTTACCCTGTCCACAACTTAAAAAATATTTTGATGAACAAGTTTTACAACATCTTAGCCTATAATTAAAATTGTCTGTAGCATAATCCGTCTAAATGCACTTTGACAGCTTTAAGACCCAAGATTCCAGAAACTCTAAACTAAAATTATATGGGAGGTGTTTGCTGTCCTCTGTCTGTCTGTCTATCTATCTATCTTTATATCATTTGAAGTCATTATAGAGTCATGGAAAGTTGCAAGAACTCAACAGAGAACCTGTGCATCCTTCACCCCAGGGAATGTATGCATAGAACAATAACAAAAACAGGAAACTGAAACCCCAGCAGTCCAAAGGAGCGTATACAGGTGCCAATAAACCTTTATTTACAAGAATAAGTGGACTGGGTTTTGCTGATGGATCCTAGTGTGTCTACTCCTGAGTGACTTTGTGCAAAAAGATCACAAAATGTTCAGGTCATTTGGCTTAACATTCTCATGGGAGAAATGGGGAAACCACCGTGTCAAAACCACTTTAACGTGGTTCATGAATGGCAGCACAGAAACTGGGAACTTATCTCAGGCTGTCCTCTGACAGCCGGTCCCGTGAGCTGATGCACGGAGGGGTGGCGCCGCCGCACGGTCACCGGTGCAATATGCGGCACAATCAGATTTTACTGAACTTAGAAGGGGTTTCAGAAACAGCGTGTCCGACTCTTAGCAGAACAATACTGTGCTAAAGTATAGTCCGAGGATAACTCATGAGAACTTTAAAAATGAATTTTACGGGGAGCGCTTGCCAACGATGCAGAGGAGAAGCGGGATGGAGACACCCTTATAGAGGGAAAGTGGGCTCCCCAGAAGATGTGTTTCTCTGCTTCGACACACCAGAAAGCCTCTCTCTCTTACCTGGAACATAATCTTCCATAGTTCCTACCCTGGGTTCACCAAAGCCTCCTTTGTGCTGACGGCTGCATACCTGTTGGTGGTGGGCAAGACCACGTGTCTCTGCGCCGGGGCACTGCTGAATATCTCACTGCCGACCGTTGTGTGGAATGGGTAAGGAGGCATTTCAGCACCCGACTTCACTCCAAGAGCGGTTCCTTTCTCTCTCAACAGTGGTGGAGTAGGCTTCTTGCTGATGGGAAAATCTGATGAGAATCCTGGCTGCCTGAGGGTTGCTTTGGGCTTTCCTGTGAAGTGAGGCACACATGAGACCCTTGATTCGTTTCCCCAGGCCCTGGTGTGTTGCCTTTTGTCCGTGGGCCTCTGCTCTCAGAATGGTTGGAAAGAACAGGAGGAGGTTGCCACTGGAGGGTGAGTCACGAGGGGAAAAGGAGATTGCCAAGTATTGACCAGACGAAGCTCCTCAGCCTGTGCCGGCACCTGCTAGACCAGCGGTTCTCAACCTGGGGGTCGGGACCCCTTTGGGGGTGGAACGACCCTTTCACAGAGGTCGCCCGATTCATAACAGCAGCAAAATGACAGCGATGAAGTAGCAAAGAACATAATGTTATGGCTGGGGTCCCCACCACACGAGGAACGGTGTGAAAGGGTCGCGGCCTGAGGAAGGCGGAGAACCGCTGCTCTAGACGGACTACTGACGTTCCTCCACTCACCGGGTGGAAACTCAATGGCTGCCACGCAAGCCTGGCCAACCCGTGGGCCCACCCTCCACATTCGACCCTTCTTTTGAGATTTAGGCTCAAGTCTCCCTTTTGCCAAGACACTCGCAGTCCCTTGTCTAAAATGCTCAGTGTGTCATTGGATCCTCTCCTGTTCTGTACTATCAGAGCTGGACCTTGGCAGTTTAAGTGCTCAGGAAACACAGGCCGAGTTGTCTACAATAATTAAGTACACTGCTGAACTCAGACCTTTTTTAAAAACAGAGGTTAGCAAATAAAAGACATAGATAGTTAAGTTCTTGGTTAGCTCAACATGTCTCTAGAGGAGCCTCTCCCCCCGCCCCCACCAAAACAACCTAACAGATGAAAAGCACACCGTGTCCTTGGAAGTGTCATCAAGGTTGGCTCTGCGATGTCTCATGCTTATCATTGCATTTGCTAAATCATGTTCCCCACAGTCACGTAGCCATTTCAAATGGAAACATTAGCTTTCAGGTTTTTCTCTTGACGCGTGAATGTTAACGCCCCCAGAGTCCTGTATTATAGCTAAGGTATTCACCAGCGGGTTTACAGGCTTTAGCCTAAAAGAAGTCCTTACCTTCTAGGAAAAACGGCATGGTTTTCTTCACTCTCATTTGGCAATTAACTTGCCGCCCCGCTTTCCTTTTAGAACTCCTCTGGCGAGCCACCAGCTGGGCGATGCGTGCCGTTTCTGTGCACGCCACGGCATAGCAGGTTATCTGCTCACGACAGGCAGGGGAGGCGAGAAAGCAGCTCTTAGCTCGCGGCTGCCCAGAGGTCCAGTCCAGAGTGCACCTGTCTACCCATCAAGCTGGCTACAGACTCTCATGTCTCTCGCCCCTTGATAACGCGGGAGCAAATGCTTCTTTTCTACCTAAATTAACATTTTGGGGGGTTCAGACTGCGCTGCCTCCCCACCATGTGACCCCAGAAATGTCCTCTGTCACAGTTTGCAGGCTTTTCAGCTCTTCTTTTGGGTGGTGGGATGAGCAAACAGGCAGATGGTGAATTGCCGGCCCATAAAGTACATGCAAAAAAAGTTTGTCTGCTACTGACAAACTGCCCAGATGCTATATAAAGTATTTTCTTCCAGAGAAACCAAAAGATTTTAAAGTGTGGACTAACATGATCATCTTGGCAGGAAGGTGGTACCAAGCTCCAGAGAGAAGGGGCGTGTAGGAGAGGCCCTTACAATCTCCAATGAGGAAAGCTCAGTTGGGAATTGAATCAGATGAGATAGGTGCACATGGGTGAGGTCAGACCAGGAGCATCTCAAAGATTTGACACTCAGTATGACCTTGGTAAAAACCACTGGGGCAGGTTTGCAAATGGGTGGCTGTTAAGGTACAGATATTTTGCTTGAATGGTGAGACTGGGTTAACTTTCAACTGTAAATGTTTGTATTTAATGGGGTAAAAAATCTTAATTGTTACAATGAAAAGAACCTAAGGGGGACAGGAGCCACGAGAGTTATGGGCTGTGCCAAGGCTGCCACTCAAGCCTCCACTTAGCTCTGATCATTCGGTCTGGCTCTATTCTGTGTCGGGAATTAGAAGTGCCAGGTAGGCATAGGAACGGCTTGAGCCTTCTTACCTCTCCAGATCGACTGGTCTCTACCCTGGCGACTGCTGGCACACTCCGTAGGTAGGCCTCCAGTGTAGGGTGACCTAGCTGCTTGAACGGGATCCAGTCTCCAGTCAGCGATCGGTACTCTCCTTGGAGCCGGGGCAAAGCTATTCCATTCTTGTGAGACTGTAGAACAGCCCGCAGCATCTTTGAAACCAGATCTGCTTCCAGCATCTTCACCTGTTAATAACATGGTAGGAGGTTACGATAAGGTGGTTCACGAGTCTGTAAGTTCCAGCGGGTTTTCAGACCGGCAACTCCATTATTCTATGAACCATGACTGAACGCTTCCTGTGTGACCATGGTACGGGAGGAGAGTCCTAGGGCACAGTGGCTATGGCTACCGCCTGGCTCAGCCTTCTGAAATCACCAGCTGCTGGGCAGAAGAGATGAGGCTTCTACACAAGGCAAGAGTCAGTCTCGGAAACCCCACAGGGGCAGCGCTACTTTGTCCTCGAGAGTCACTGTGAGCTGGAATTGACTTGATGGAGGGCGTGCTTGAGTTTTTGGTAACAGAGAGAAATACCTGCTGTGATAAAGAGGAGCAGACACGGTCATGAGAACACAGGAGACAGCCAGAAAGGAACGAAGTCTGGCCTGGGAGGAGGGGCTCGATCAGCTGCAGGAAGGCCTGAATGGAGTGCCCGGGATTGAAGGAACCAGCCGGCGGATGAGAAAAAGGCGAAAGATGGGGGCGGGATGGTCAGCAGCACGGAGGTGAGAGAAGGCAACAGTGGGCTCTAAGAATGCCAGGTAGTTATGAGGTTGGAGGAGGGCACTGGTGGGCGGTAGAATTTTCACCTGGGTTCAATGCCCAAACCCTGTACATCAGGCACAGCCACCACTTGAAGCCTGTGTGCCGCTAGGATGCTTGACAGCTTTCCCCACAGCTTCCAGACAAAGGCTGACTAGGAAGAAGGACCTGGAGAGCTACTTCTGAAAGTCAAAGAAACCTTCTGTGACCACAACAAGTCCATCAGAAACGGAGCAGCGGGTGGCCCGGGGCTGGGCGGCACTTTGTTCTGCTGTGCAGGGGTCACCATGAACCAGGGGCCAACTCACAGCTGCACTCCACGCTGAGGACTGGAGAGGCGGGGCTCGCAGAGGTAGGACGGGGCTGACCTTTAAGAAGCCACTATGTGAACATCATGCTCACAGGTTTCCACCCAAAATAGCACACACCTGAGACAGAGATCTGCATGGCTCTGCACGTCAGAAAGTCAGGAAGACCGACCTGAAAGGTGTGGGCCTCACAAGCAATCCCAGCACTGGGAAATGTGGGGGTCCTGAGGACAGGCTACGTGAATACACAAAACACCAGTGTGGGAGCTAATTAGAACATGGAATCAATACGCATTGATTGAGGACTTGGATGCTGCCCTATAAACACACACACACACACACACACACACACACACACACACACACACACACGAATGAAGGACTCACTGCAGGTGAAATGCACTTCAGTAAACTCAAGCAGGGGAAGGCCAAGTTCCTTCAAAATGCATCCTTTTTAACAGCAGCTTATTTTTAAGTCGCTGTCCTATCAGCAAAGGAAGGTTCTACACGTTTTCTTTCACCCAGGTCATTAGGGCTGATGCTACTCTGGGGAGCAGCCCTTCCCCCGTCGTCGTATTTTGAGGGTTCTAACCTGGGGGCCTCCTCGTCCAGCACTGTATCAATGTTCGGCAGCCACTCACAAGGCTTTCATTGGCCAACTGTAAAACGAAGCCCCTATTCCTAGTCCTAGTCTAAAAACTCCTCTAAAAGCTGTGTCCCACAGGGGAAGCCTGCTGATACTTAACATCGCAGTGGCATCACTTACAGCCACACACAAGCTCCGAAGGTGGGACAAACTGACAGAGGAGTGGTGGGTTCCAGGGGGGCTATTCTACACAATGCTGCTTTGAACAGTGCTAGCCAAGTCCTTGTGGAGGCTTGGTGCTTATTTCTTTTGTATATGTTCTAGTAAGTACATTTTCTAAAAACCTAGTTCCCATGGTGCCTGGACCAAAGCGTAACTCTCATTCCATAAACTTAGAAACTCAAAGCTTAGGGAAGTGAAGTAGCTTAATAAAAAACCCCACAGGATGTAGGAAATCCAGGGCTTTAGTCTTGGCTGTTTGATGCCAAAGCCCCAAATTTCCCCCATATTCTATTATCCTGCCTCTGGGGCTGGACAAAAACAATTCTGAAGCATTAACAACGGGGCAAGAGAGGCAGGAGCAGAGCCAAGAGGAGGAGGTGACGGGGAATCAATGGTAGACTTGACCTAAGCACAGGGACTGCATGGATTCCGTGGCAGCGGGACGCCACGAGCAGAGAGGAAGTTCGGGGAGAACACACATGTATGAAGTCGGAGGTCCTTGTGGCCTCTACTGCAGGGCTGCCACATGTTAAGAAAGAAGTAGAAAGTAGGCTACTAAATTCCTGATCACCAGGGAGGTATTTTGCCTCACAAGGGTTTCTGACTCCACAGTCAGTGGATTACTGAATGTTTACTATCCAGCTATTTCCTCACGTCATAAAACTCATCTCTTTGTGAGAAGAGAAACTAAGAGCCCAGTTGCTAATTTCCCTGTGCCACCCTTCCCCACCTCTCTGCCCTCTTCTCCTCATAGGACCAGCCTGCCCCACCTAATCACCTAGCACTCTCCTGGGGAAAATGGCCCTTTGCGGCTTTGTACCAGTGCCTGCATTAGCTAAGGAGACCTTGGATGCTGCTCTACACACACGTGGGCAGGCACCTGTCACTTGGCTGTAATGTCGTGGTTTGTGGTTGCTATGGTACTGGAAGTTGTGCCACCAGTGTTTCAGATGACAGCAGGGTCACCATGGTGAAGGTTTCAGCAGTTTGCAGACAAACAGACTAGAAAGAAAGGCCTGGTGATCTACTTCCAAAAACCTGTCCATGAAGACTCCGTGGCTCACAACTCGATGACAGAGAAGTCTCCCTAGGTGGGAAGATGTGGTTCAGTCCCTGCCCACTGGTAAGAGCTCAATAAATGATGACGAGGTTGCTTGGGGAAGCCATCAGGACGGTGTGAGTACAGGGCCTAGTCTGCTGTCCTTCTTTCTCCGTGGGGTTTGCTCCTTCTGCCGCTGCCTGTCAACGCCACCTCCATGTCCCTGCTGGGGACAGCAGTCTGGAATCACTATGTCCATGGCCGCTTGCCTGAGGGAACCCTCGCTCACCTCCCGTTCCTTCCACCCCCAGCTCTGACACTGACGATGATGGACGACGGCGTGAGCAGCACCGTGAAGATGCTTCCCTGTGCAAGAGGTGTGCAGTCAGCGCTGGCTACTGGCATGGCCCTCACATCCAGCACTGTGTGAGGAGGTGCAGAGTGGAAGGCTCCACAAATGAACGGAGGTTCTTTAGCTCGAATCCATGCTCTCAGTCCGCTTATGAAAGCATTTCTACGGAGATCCAATGTCATTGTCAAATTCTCAGTCTCGCGGCTGGGATGGACACCACCTTCTAGAAATTATAGGATGAAAATCTCCCAAGCAAGTTATTTTGAAGTTTACATTCTAAGGTTAGTCGCAAGGAAAATACAGAGCATCAAATCCAAGCCTCCTCTATGGAAGCCCATTGCAGAACTGCATTCAGAAGTCACAATTCAAAAGATGGACACAGGATGGATTCAGAGACGTGCCACTCTGGGAGCAGATGGGCGAGGTTTTATCTGAAGTGGAAGAGAGACTAAAGCAACAACGCTGCACGAACACACAATTGCCAGCACTCCTTTTAACTCAATGTGTGCGGACTTACGTGAATCCAGAGCAGTCTGCAAGTCTGCTGAAGTGCGTGGCCAACAGCTCTGAGAAGTCTATGGCCATCCACTACGCACACGTGAGCAATGGGAGAGGTTCGGGCAGGTCATGACTGGAAACCAGCGAAGACAACAGTGCGATCTCACTGGAGTGGGAATGTGCAAGTCTTCAGGGCCACTGAAAGCGCGGCTCGGCTCGGCTCGTGTGGGCGAGAAGCAGCGTCGGTGGTTGGTAAGATGCAACTGTACAGCAGATTACCACCAGCAGAAGGGAGCAGGAGAGCCCCTTGTGTTCCTGGATGAAAAGGGCCTTCTTGAACGACTCACGCAGCTTTACTGCCTTTGTGGGGCAACCGGAGGAGATCGCAGATGAATATTTGCAGAAGTGCTGAGCCAGAAGCTGAAGTCAGCATCACTGAGTGACAGCGACGTCACCTCCCCGTCTCATCCCACACTCTGGGAGGCTTTCAGTTAGGAGGGTTTCTGTGCTATTTCTGGTGACTTCTCCTTTAAGTAAACCTCACTTGCCAATTAAGAAAAACCAAAACCACAACAAAATAATGAATGAGTGACAGAGTCTAACACCATTCCTTTCCATTCCTACTCCCTGAAATATGAATATAAGCTATTGAAGGAAGTGCTTTGAACCCAATTTAATTTCTTAAAAGCCTCCAGTTTACTCAATTGAAAACTACTTGCAAGTGCTAATGGCGGTCCTCAACAGCTCGAGGAGCCGTGTCGCTGAACTGTGAGTGCGCACTGCTGTGCCGATTCCTTCAGGGCCAGTGTCCCTACAAAACTCCACACATCCTGGTGGCCGGGAGCACTGCTGACTCCTGGCAAATGCCTCCTCCTCTCACGCAGTCCCACTTTTCAATAGCACGCAGGTGCTGTTGGGATTCATGAAACACACGTTTTTGTTGGCTTCACAATGGCACTTGGTAGCTATCTATTTATTAACCCGTGGATACGGAAATGTACCTACTAGCCAGTGTGTCAGGGTTCACGCTGCTTTTTGAAAGCTCAAAAGAAATATGCGATCTTGTACCTGAGAGGACTGCAAAGCTGTGTGTGCCCCCAAGATCTCCATTTGTCAATAGTATATCCTCCTTCCTCTTTTAAAATCATGCTGTTTGGTTCTTTTGTTGTTTTTAAATGATATACTGCAATTCTCTATTTGCAAACAGCACTCTGGAAGGCCGGGAGTCCTTTAGGCTGTACAGTGGGAATGTCGGAGCAGGCGGCAGCAACAGAAAGTCAGGAAACCTGGCAGGTAAATGCTGCCACGCTCAGATACAGATTCCCCTCCCAGCCCATTTCTTCAGTCTGGTTTAATTACCGCAATGGCGTTAGGAGTACTAGGTACTGAGTAAACAACAATAAAACGTTACATGG